GTCAGAATGGCTGCCATAAATAAATCAATAAACATCAAGTCTTGGCAAGGATGTGGAGAAAATGGAACCTTCATGTATTGTTTATTGGTGGGAATGGAGATTGGTGCAGCTACTGTGAAAAGCAATATGGAGTTACCTCAAAAAATTAAAAGTGGAACTGCCTTTTGACCCAGCAATTCCTCTACTAGGAATATATGTGAAGAAACCTGAAACATGAATTCAAAAGAATGTAATAATTCCCATATTCATTGAAGCATTATGTACTACAGCCAACGTTTGAAAGCAGCCCAGGTGCCCATCAGTGGGGGAGTGGATAAAAAGCTTTGGTACATTTACATAATGGAATACTACTCAGCCATAGAAAAGAAGTAAATTTTACCCTTTGTGACAGGATGAATGGAGCTAGAGAGAATTATGCTAAGTGAAATAAGCCCATTAGGCGAAAACATGTACCATGTGATTTCAGTTATATGTGGAACATAATGAATAAAATAAACTAACAATCAAAATAGAAACAGAGGCATATATAGGGAAAAAACTGACAGCTGTCAGAATAGAAGAGGGTTGCGGGACTGTGTGAAAAGATGAAGAGATTAAGCAAAAAATAAAAATAAAAAAATAAGACTCATAGACCCAGATAATAGCATGGTGATTACCAGAAGGGAAGGAGGGTAGAGGGAGGTAATGGAGGGTATAGTGGGAATAGGGTGATGGAGGTAGGCTTGACTTTAGGTGGTGAACACACAATATAACGTACAGTTGATGTATTATAGAATTGTACACCTGAAAACCTATGTAATTTTATTAATCAATGTCACTCCCATAAATTCTATAAAAATTTAAATTAAAAATAAAATGAAATTGAAAAATAGTAGTATGAGAATGTTATTTAGAAACATAAAAATGATGCCAATAGAAACACCTAATACAGCTAACATTGCCTGGCTTTGTTGCAAACGTGTAGACTATAGTACTAGATTTCCTAGGTTTGAAACCTGCATCTACTCCTTACTAGTTGGGTGACCTTAGGCAAGTCACATAATCCCTCTGAGGCTCATTCTCTCATTTGGAAAATGGGGATAGTAACAGTGTATATCTCATAATATTTTTTGAGGATTGAGTTAATACTTATAAAGGCTTAGAATGATGCCCAGCAACAAGTAAATATTCAATAGTAGTATTGCTGAGGAGCAGAAATTGGGGTGAGAAGGACGTAGTTATTTCTTGCAATATGACTGTAATATTTGACTCTTTAACTGTACAAGTATTGCTTCAATATAAATAACTTTTAAATATTTAAGAATAAATTAGAAGTGAGGAAGTGGAAAATCTTTCAAGAAGTTTATTGTGAAGAAAAGGAGAGGGAAAGGGCAATAGCAACATGAATTTGGAGTTAGAAGAAAGCTGTGGATATTCTTATTCTTATTTTTATTCTTATTCTTATTATTTATAGAAGAGACATGAATGAATTTAAAAGTAGATGTGAAATCAACTAGAGTAGGGGAGGAAAAGAAGTTGTTGAAAAAAAGAACGCATCCTACCAAAGCAAAAATGAAGGAGAACCTCTTTCATTATAACCAAAAGGAAGGTGAAATGGTGGATGCGGTTGTTGGTATGACCAGGAGTCTTATATGAGAAGCTGAGGAATTTATCATTTCATGCCTACCAATCTCTATGCAAAATAGGAGGTAAAGTCATTTGCTGAGCATGAGGTGGAAGGTGGCAGGGTTGCAATTTTGAGATCAGTATGGAAAATTTGAAATAGCCATTATAGAAACAAGGAAAAAGAAAGCTGATCAAAGCAACACCAAAGGATTTCAGGTCAGTACCAAGGGCCCAGGTGAGATTAGAGGCCATGAATTTGTAGCATAGTAGTACCAATCTCTATGGTTATGAGTTTTTTCTTTTATTTTTAAGTATATTTTACTGATTATTCTATTACAGTTGTCCCAATATTTCCGCTTTGCCCCCCTCCACTCACTATACCCCTTCCCTCCAGCAATTCTCCTCTTAGTTCATGTCCATGGGTCATGCATATAAGTTCTTTGGCTTCTCCATTTACTATGCCATTCAGAACCTCCCCACTGTCTAGTCTGTACCTACCAATCATACTTCCTAATCCCTGTAACTTTTCCCCCATTCTCCCTCTTCCTCCTCCTCACTGATAACCCTCCATGTGATCTCCATTTCTATGATTCTGTTCCCATTCTAGTTTTGTGCTTACTTTGTTTTTGTTTTTGTTTTTTGTTTTAGGTTCAGTTGTTGATAGTTGTGAGTTTTTTGTCATTTTACTGTTCATAGTTTTGATCAGTAAAGGGAGTTCTTCTGAAATATCTCCTTTTAACATTTCATATAATAATGGTTTGGTGATGATGAACTCCTTTAGTTTTTTTCTTGTCTGGGAAGCTCTTTATCTTCCCTTCAATTCTAAATGATATCTTTGCTGGATAGAGCAATCTTGGCTGTAAGTCCCTGCTTTTCATGACTTTGAATACTTCTTGCCAATCCCTCCTTGCCTGTAAAGTGTTTTTTTTAGAAATCAGCTGACAGTCTTATGGGAACTCCTGTGTAGGTAACTCTCTTCTCTTGCTGCTCTTAAGATTCTCTATCTTTAACTTTTGGCATTTTAATTATGATGTGTCTTGGTGTGGCCCTCTTTGGGTCCAACTTGTTGGGGACTCTCTGTGCCTCCTGGACTTGTATACCTATTTCCTTTACCAAATGAAGAAAATTTTCTTTCATTATTTTTTTCAAATAAGTTTTCAATTTCTCACTCTTCCTCTTCTCCTGGCATCTCTATGATTCAGATGTTTGCATGTTTGGAGATGTCCCAGAATCTTCTCATTCTCTTCTCAATTTTTTGAACTGGTTTTTACAGACAGAAGTTTTGAGGCTTTATTTTCCTGGTGCTGGAACCCTGGGCTGCACAGTCTGGCCTGGGGCTGGGATCGCTTGCTCCCCAGGTGTCTTTCCTGGTTTTTATCCATCACATGTGAATGCGGGACTGCCTGTTCTCCTGGTTGCTTGCTGCTGCTGCCTCATTGCCATCACCTTGCTGCCGCCACACCATGTCCTCTCTGCCACAGCTCCCTGGCTCCACCCCTCCTACCCATCTGGATGAATATTTCTTCTTTAAATCCTTGGTTGTCAGACTTCCATACAGTTCAATTTTCTGGCAGTTTTGGTTGCTTTTAGTTTTGAAGTTAGTTGTGATCCTTCTTATGATTGTGCAAGGCGGTGAAGTATGTCTATCTATGCCTCCATCTTGACTGGAAGTGGTTATGTGATTTTCTCCACCAGTATTCTGCAACTCAAATATAGCCATGAAGAAGATGGGAATAGCTGGGTGGGGTTTTATTAGGCTGGTATGATAAAAAGATGGTGGTATGAGGGAACTGGTGGTATTGATGAGAGTAGCTGAAGTGAGAAATCATAGGCCCTAAATAGGTCAAAAAAAGAAGCGAAGAAAGCAATGAAAACAGTCAGTAGCTGATAGGTAGGAGTAAGAATTTAGAGGTCCCTATGAAGCTGAAGAATAGATGTACTGAAAGAAAAACAGACAGCTTAAGTATAGAGGTTGTAGTGTGAAAGTAGAATATTTTAATTTATGATTTATGTGCAATTATGAGTGATAGTGAGATTTAGCATGTATGCTATGGAAGTGGGTAGATTAAATAGAGTAGAAGTGAGGGCCACTGGAAGAGGACATGGCAAGGAGCCAGAGACTAGATGGCTAGGTTATTAGATGGCTAAGCCATGTGGATACTGCTAACATCACCAAGAATGAAGGCAGAAGCAGTAGAAAAGAATACTGTGAACCTGGAGCCAAGGTCTTCAGTGAATCACAGGGAGATATAAGGAGGTGAAATCTGGCCTAATGGACCCCTATAGCCCCTTGAAGCCTTGGTGAATATGCTGAACAATGTTTTACTTTAGACCTCAAATTCTTTGCAAATGAATAACTAGTATGTTGGGAATCATCCTGCCTAGTTTCAGGGACTGTAGCCTCGCCGATAGGCGAGGGGGCTCCACGGCTGGAGCTGAGCAAGGAGGCCTTGGGAAAATAGGCCACTGAGGAGACAAAACCTGTCCCCCTGGCTGGGGCACAGCCCCTGCCTCCCTCACATCACCCTGCTTGACCCCACCCTGGAGGATGGCTGGTTAGTCAATGATGGGTAATAACCCCTCAATGGCAGGAGCAACCTAAGACCGGCACAGTCACATGCGGGCAATCAGGGATGGACTTAGGGGACATGTAGAAGGGGTAAAAGACCCTCACCCCTCAACTTTGTCATGGCCAGAGTCCTCATTCTATCTGAAAGTCTCCTTATTTCTTGGCTGCTCTACCCACCACCTGACCAGGTAAGTGAAATAATACTAAAGGCAGGTACAGCCCTAAACTGGATCAGGTAGTTCCTGGGGACAATTAGGCCTGGAAAAGGAATACATTAAATCTTATGAAACTTACTTTGTTAAGAATGCCCTTGAGTTAATGAGTACTGATGTCTGGGGTCGGGCATAGAATGTGATCAGTTTCCCAGGTTTCAGAGCCAAATGGGCGCCACTCTGTCTACCAGACCCTGACCTGAGGCAAATCTCTGTGTTCCTTCTATCACAGACTTTTGACATTGATTGATGAGCTTTGCATGCATGCTGTATACCCCTGTGCATAAAAGTCACTTCAAGAGAAAGGCTTGGGGCCTTCTCCATTGGAGGGAATTGCCGCCCCTTTGCCTGGCAAATGGAGATGTGTCTGGAATGACTTATTTTCCTCCATCCATGGCAACCCAGGGGGACTCTGTGCAGGATATGGTACCCCCCATCACTAGTAGGCTACAAAGACAGAGAAGAGTGCCAAAAATCCGCAGGGCATTCAATCACTGAGGATGCTAAACTCTTCAGGTATCAGCTCCTAAATACATGCCTGAACAGAATTAAGTGATTTTAAGCTGGTCCTTTTTCATAAGAGCAGGCATGTCAAAATAATAGTAGGAGCTCACCTCTCAGCAATATTTTTTGCAGACTGGAGAAACCGTGCTTGGTCATTTTCTTTCAAGATATGCTCCGCTTGGTTGATGAGGACGGTTGACCGTTCAAGACACTGGCGGCAATTAGCAACCTGCTGTGCCAACTTTCTCAGTTTCATAACCTTAAAGGAATTAGCAACAGAAAGAAAAAAAACATCCAGTGCTTAATTAAAAATAATAAAATAATATGAAGGAGATGTGCTGTATTGATTCTAAAATTAAGGCCTATTAATATTAATATCCATCTGCTTGCTGTACTAACCACTCACTTTCTCACTCTGCCCTCTATGTCTGTCATGCCAACCCCTCCTCCCACCTACAGCCTGCTTACTTATCCTGCAACACAGTCATATACTCTAGGTTGTCTAACTCCTCTTTTTTATTGATAACATTAATTTTTCTGGTCATAAAAGCAATGCATGCTCATACAGAAAATGTAGAAAATAAAAATTATAAAAAGAAACCCTACCACCAAGGGATCACCATTGGTTCCATTTTATTGTCAACATATTTTCACAAACATGTTTAATAAAATGTATCTCCTCTTTTTTTATAAGGTTCTACATTTCTATGTATATATTTCTCTAAGTAACTTTGCACATACATGTATGCTCACACATCTGTGCTCTCAAAAACTTCAGTTTCTATGTTAGTTGGATCCACCCAGCATGGCATAAAATATTGGTCATCATTCTGGGCTCTCATAACTTCTAACATTGTACACACAGCATTAGATTATAATCATGACACTGACCAACAATCCAACAAGCAAAAAACCATACAGATGCATGGAGGCTCACACATGGCTTTCTTGATCATGATTCTTTAGTTCCCAAGTAAAAGCCTGGAAGTCTTCTCTCTGTCCTTCATCTTTTCTATCTACTTAATCAATGATTCCCATCCTTTCCTTTCTAAAGATGCCTGTTATGTTCTTCTCTTCCACTGTGCTGCCACTTTACTGGTTTAGGTCTTCATCAACTCACATCAAGAATCATTCCATAAGCCTCCTAAATTGCTTCCCTGACTTCAGTATCATCCCATTCTCATATACCCTGCACACCTCTGCCATATCAATCAGTGTTCTCTCTTCCTAAGAAACTAGAATGATTTTTCAATGCCTTTCAGATTAAGCCCAAAGTACTTAGGGCATGCATGGTCCTTCCATAATTCTGGCCCACATTTTTACCACTAATTTCTTTCTTTCTGTATTGACTTATTCATACAATAAAGCACCTAAAGTTGAAGTGACAACTCAATGATTTTTTGCATATACACACATCCATGTTACCACCACCTAGGACAAGATACAGAATTTTTCCAACACCCCAGAACTGCCAGCATTTTTATGGTATTTATAGCACTAAGCAAGATATAGCTTCCTTGCTTCATTCCCTAAAACTTCATTTCTTCTTGCTTTCATGATCCAAATTCAAACTGGAAACTTCAGGATGAAACCTTGAAATTTGTAAAGTCAACTCTGCCTTGGCCTCACTGAAGCACTGTGCTTTACCTTTGTCTCTTTGATTTTGACAGCAATCATTTGCTTCCTTTGCTGGATGATCTCTACCAACTCGTCACATTCTTCCATAAGTTTTGCCTCATGCATAGCAGTATTCACCTGCCAAGAAAGTCCAGAATGTTACACAGTGATTGCTGCCTTTGCCCCTTGCTGGCTCTCTGAATGGTTTGGACTGACAGCTAAGCATGCACTACTCCTTCCATACCTCCCTCATAAGATCCACTCCTAGAAGAAGGGTAGAGATGATGATATTAATGATGCAAGGGCATTGAAACACCACAGACAGGAAAATCTCTGGATTCTGGTAGATCATGATGGTTAATGGAAGGCTGGGCAGAAGGACAGATGAGATGCGGGCATGTTATTCCCACTGTGCAATTCCCTTTACTCCAGCACCCTGTTCTCCTGCTGTTCTTTTAGAAAGAGGGTAAGGAGATTTAAGCATGTCATGGAAAGAGTATCCTTCTTCACAGGCTTCACAATATTAAGATAACACTACAACAACATATTTTTACCATCCTAACAAACATATTTTCAGTTTTCTTTATTCCCTTCTAATTTTAAAACATATGAAAGTACAGCTCTATCTTCACATTAAATACATGTGTGTGTAGGTATATTTTCACACAGTTGTCACCATGTCTTCATAGATATTTCTCACCTTGGACTGTCCAGTATCTGAATACCTTTCCAATTTGGAGACACTTGCTATGTCAAAGTATCTCCACTACAAAATCAGTGTGGGTTTGGGAAAAAAAAAGCCACCATTCATTATTGTCTTCCCATGTACTTGTTTTTCCTTATTTCCAGCTTCAATAGTATTGACATTAGATGATATCAAGCTCCCAGAAGGGTTAAATGAAAGCAGAGGGTCTTTGTGCTGCTCAAGTGTAAAGGGAAAGGAAGGGGAAATCAACATATATCTTTTAAGCACTTAATGTGCCAACTACTTTAGAGATCAATTATTTCATGTAATTATCATAACCATTTTACAATATAGAGGTACTTTTATTCCCATTTTGCAGATGGGGAAACTGAGGCTCACAGAATTTTAGTGACTTGCTCAATATCACACAGATAGTAAGTGGTAAGACCAGAATTCAAAACAAGTTCTGTCAAGTGAGAGCCCTGGGCTGGCTGGCTGGGTGGACGAGGTTCAGTTCCATTTCAGCAGTACATAGAACAATCACACAGGGAAGCACAATTATTCCAAGAGTCTATTCAAGGATCACTCAAACAGAGTTCTAGAAGGCTGAGGAATAGATAATGGGTTACTTGAGAGCATCAAATCTCAAGGGGCTAGATGTGCTTCATTAGCAAGGTAGGATTGCATTTCCAATTGTTAGCTCTCTTTAGAGGGTTCCTTTATATATTCTAAGCCCAGAAAAATACCTGTCATTGAGCCCTGCTCTGCATCCTCTCTCATCCTCTAAGGTTCCTGTAGGCCAATTTTCTGTTTCTTTCTTAACTGAAGTAAAATACACTTGCTGAATTTCAACCTTATTTTGTTTTATTTCCATTTTCTAGGGGGAATGTTACAAAGAGAGCTTCCATTTATTATGAATGAACAGTCACACTGGGTCCATTCTAATATTTTTTCTGACTCTTCACCCTTTCCCTAAATTGGATCTACCTTTCCAAGGAAATAATCTCACTTCTCAAGTAACTCCTACTCATGTGAGAATAAGAGATTCATCTAGTGCTCCTTGGATCTGTGCTTAGAGTATCTGGAGACTTAGAGCATTCTTATTTATAGTTTCTTTTTGAGGCTGCTGATAGTGTAGTATACAATGGTTTACCACCATGTTTCCTGTAATTTAGCCCTTATACTAATCTTTGCATTAACACTCATTATATGCCAGGTACTGTCCTAATCAGCTTACATGTACAGTCGGCCATCCATATCTGCAGGTCCTATGCCCTTGAATTCAACCGACCATGGATTGAAAATATGAGGAAAAAATACATTACATTGTTGCTGACGTGTACTATATAGTTAAGCTTATGAAGGTTGTGTCTGTACTGAACATGTACAGACTGTTTCTTTGTCATCATTCCCTAACCAATACAGTATAATAACTATTTACATAGTAATTACATTGTATTAGGTATTATAAGTAATTGAGAGATATTTAATGTATAGGGAAGATATGTGTAGGTTATATGCAAATACAATGCCATTTTATGTGAGTCTTGAGTATCCACAGATTTTGGTATCTGCAAGGGGTCCTGGAACCAATCCCCTACAGATACAACTGTACTAGTTCTCTCGATCACCAAAACAACTTAGTAAGGCATGTATCATTAGTCTCATTTTACAGATGAGGAAACTTGGTCACAGACAGAGTAAGTGACTTGCTCAAGAACACACTTCTAGTAAGTGGCAGAGATGGGATTTGCGCCCAGGGAGTCTGACTGGAGTCCATGCATTTAGCTGTCACATTATATTCCTTCTGAGTGGAATGTAACAAAATTATTGCCTCCAGTTTTTGACAATTGTTACCTCTTTTGCACATTACATCTTTATTCTGTTATTCCATTCTCTTCAGTCAGACTACCTGTTGTTCCCCTAGACTACCTGCACTTCCATGTCTCCTGCTTTTGCTTGAGACCCTCCTTTCAAGTAAGTCACTTTGTTATTTGTTTATTGAACAAACTTCTACTTATCTTTCCAGGCTCTGCTCAAAGTTCATCATTTCTGCAACTACTTCTCATTTGCTTTGAAAACAATTGTTCCCTTATTTAAATTCCTATAATACTTTATATATAATTTGATTACACCATTTACTACATTGTATCACAGATATTTATTAGCCTGTCTTCCCCCTACAAACACGAGCTCTGGAGGCCAAAGGTTGTCTTGACTATATCACAAGGATAGTGAGTGGCATATGGTAGATGTTAAGTAAACATTTGTTGAATTGAACTGAATTGGAAGGGAAAATATCTCACTGCTTGCTAGACATATTCATGTAGTTAGACAAGTTATTCTTAATTCAGAATGTCTAAAAACAAACTCATCATCTTCCCTCTAAATCTGGCTTCCATCCTTGATTTTCACATTTTTGTTAATGTTACTGTCATTACTGCAGTTATTCAGGTTCAGTTACCTCTACTTTTGCCTCGTCCCCCACATAAATCCACAGCAGTCCCAAGGTCCTGCTTTTCTTTTCAATTTCACTAATGTTCTTCTGGTAATACAATGAGGCTCTGATCCAAGGACCAATAAGTTGAAGTCCTTATCACCCTTTTGGACTATTATGGTAACAGCCTCATTAATTCATCTTCCTACCTTCAGAATATTTCTTTTGCCCCATCATATACCCTGAAACCAGAAAAAAAATCATCACCATATTCATCATCAAGCATATATTAAGCATACCTGTTGTGCAATGCTCTCAATAAATTTGCAGTTTGTATGGTATAAAGCCATGTACATATAAAACAAACAAGTCAAGTCAGCATAAAATAAATACCAATGAGTGATGTAAAATATAATCTACAGAAACTAGAGAAAAATATAATTCTTGGTGGGGAAGTGGAGAAAAAATACTTGAGTGAAATGGGACTCGAACTGAACCTGAAATATAGATAGCACATATATTAAAAAGGTGAGAAAGATAAAATTTTGAGTCAAAGCTAATACTATTGAACCTTGTACTTCAGGTACTATAGTACCTCTGGAAAGTATTTTTGGGAGAAGGAGAGTAAGACAGTGAGAATATGAGCACAGTTAACATTTTTTAAAAAAATGAACTGGGTCCAGATCTAAGATGGCAGTGGACTAGGTATATGTTACACTCACCTCCTCCCAGGTCCAAACTGGAATTACATCTAAAATATAGAACTATCATCCTGAATAACCAATTGAAGATTAGCTGAACAGAAGCCTTATAACCAAGGATTTACAGAAGAAGTCACATGGAGACTGGTAAGAAGTGTGGAGATGTAAGCAGGGCTGGCCCTATTCCCATGGATGGTGGCTGAGGTTCTGGAGAAATATATCAGTAGTAAAGATTTCCCCTTATCAGTATGGGGGACTCAACTGAATGCTGGGCTCACCATTGCAGAGCTCCAAAACTGGGGAGAGGTGCCCATATAAAATCTGGTGAAAATAGTGGGGATTCTGTGCCAAGAGACAGGATCTGCTACAGACACAGGTACCCTCCTGAAAGGCCAGCACATAAAATATCATACACAGTAAGTCACCCTGGGCTCCTGCAGAAGGAGGGCAGAGTGAACTAAAGTCGTGTGAGGAGAAAATAGGATTTGTGGCTCTGGGGAGAGAACCGATCAGACAGTTTCTGGGTCCCTGTGCTTAGTCACTCTCTTGCCCAGCAGATGATATCTTTCTTGGGTGGAGCACTCTCCGCCTTACGGCATCAGCCTGGGGAAATGAAATAGACCCATCTTCTGGAAGCCCTGTTACCCCACCCTGCATAGTGCATGCCTTTATGAGGAGTCAGCTGCCTTTGTCAGGGTGTAGAGGTCTGGGAAGGCTCAGGGGGCATCAGTGACTGAATGGTGTGGCTTTGGGGCAGGGGTCACTCTCCCACTGTCCTCCAAGCCTGATCAGGGCCTCCCCTTCATGGGAGATCCAATAGCCCCATCCCACACACACCCAGGCCTAGCAGACATAGGTACAAACTATGTATCACATTGTAGCTCCAAACAGGTTGCCCAGAGCCAGTCACAGGCAGTGCCTGACATTGGATTGCACCAGACTCCCTCCCAAGAGGTCCCAGAGCAAACACAACCAGTAGCGAGCTCCAGATAACATCAGAGCAGAATCTAATTAGCTTCACAGGCTCCAGGTGACACCACGCTCTGGACAACTGGTGGCCCTACCCTGCTGAGGTTGGGGCAGAGTCCAAGTCAGACTGAACTGTGTGGCTCTGGGGCAGGGGCTACTCTCCCACTGTCCTCAAAGCCTGACAAGGTCCTCTCCTTCATGGGAGATCGACTAGTCCCATCCTACTAACTCCCAGTGGTCTCACTGTGCTGATATTGGGCTCCTGGAAGAATCTGGGACAGTCTACATTGTATGGCACTAGGACGGGGGCCATTCCTCCTTCACATTCCTGATCAGTGCTGCAGCC